TATTATTATTATTATTATTATTATTATTATTGTAATATACCCATATATATATGATCGGGACTGATATATATTATATTATAATATACATATATACACATATATTATAATATATACATATAGACACGTATATACAAATATATTACATATATTATACATATGTATATACACGTATATTATACATATGTATATACACGTATATTATTATTATAATATACCAATATATACTAGCATCTTCACACGCGCAGATAAGTGTTATCCAATTTAGACCAACTCAAGATAGTCCCTAAGCATAGTCTCTAACGTTATGTACATACGTACCAGCGTGACAGCTTTGATTATGGTGTTTGTGAGATCAATTTGGAGTTCACCAGACTCCTGGAGTTGTAGAAGCACATCAACTAGATCTTCTTCTTCTTCTTCTTCTTCCTGATGGCATGATTCTTTGTTATTTTTGTTGCTTAATGATGCAAAGGCGGCCTTTCTTTTCTCTCTATGGTCATTGATGACTTCCTCTAGAATCCTGTCCATCTTTCGGTGTATTTTCTCCCAGGCAGGCTTCAAACCAGTGACATAACGGAGGAACTTAAGCGAAGGGAAGAGATCAGGCAGATCAAAGTCCACCAATGATATAAATTCTTGTTGATGTTTGCATTTTTTCCCCAAGGCTGCACGGGCAGGAATGCAATTCTGCATGTTGAAGATCAAGTCGCTAAGATTGACAGGCTGACCCTCAGATAAGGAGATTGACTGAACTAGACTCGATGCCTCTTCGTTTCTTATTGATGCAAAAGACCGCACCCGTTTCGCGCTCAGGAGCTCAAGCATGCAAACCTTTCTCATTTCTCTCCAGTGATCATTATCAGGAACAAAGATGAGACCTGCACAATTGTAGGAAAAGATTGCAGCAGCGATAAGCGCTGGCCGTTCGGAGAAAGCGGCCTTGTTTATCTTCAACACCTCTTCAGCTAACTGTGGTGATGAAATGACTATGGTTGATACTTGTCCCAGTTTGAGGTGCATGATAGGCCCATACTTCTTGGCCAAGTCTGTCAGGCAATGATGTGGTAAAGAGCCAGCCAACTGGTGCAAGTTTCCAACCAGAGGTAGCTTCCATGGCCCAGGAGGCAACCTAAGATCAATTGGACAAGTATGGCTTCTAAATCTCTTCCAGTATATAGCAAGGACAACAAGGAGCACCAGAGAAGTGAAGAGAGGAAGGGAAGGACTTTGGATAATTTGGAGCATAATCTGTGACACCAATGAAGAAGCTCTTGTCATTATAATCAAAAGCAAAGGACCTGCAAAACCTAGTTCTTGAAGTTGAAACCAAGGGGATGCTTGCTTGATATTTATACTTGTTTTAGGAATCAAAAGTAAATTATAATAACAATTCATACCAACGATCGTTGCCAGATATGGATTTAATTCAAGTATGTGTTTAACTACAAGTCAATGCAATTTTCATGATCGGTTAGGTAGATGTGTGGAAAATAGTAGGGTTTTTTTGTGTGTGCATAAATACATGTTAAACACATCAGCTACCCCAAGGCTTCCTTTAATAACCATAATTATCATGAACAGCCAAATAAAAAACTTCCAAGCAATCATTACAATCATAATTCGAACTCAAGACATACCAAAACATAAATAATAAAAAATTCGAACTCAAGACATACCAAAACATCACAAATAAAATTGTCTAGTCATTACAATCATAATTTTGACAACAACAAAAAATCATTACAATTCATAATTGTCCTTGACAAGTTTTCATATTTTGAAATCGTTACATAACAACCATGTCATCTATACTATTAAAAATATTTTTCTCGAAATATGCAACCATGCAATCATTCATCTATAATTAACTTAATTTTAAAACTTGATATTATAATATTGAGTTTGAGAGAAAAACTCCCAAACAATGAGAAAGTTTGCTCCCACCAAGAGAATAGAAAAATGGATTAAAATCTCTTCTTTTTAGCAATTTGTGTACAAATGTAATATTTGTGTTAAAATGTAATATAATAATAATAGATTTGTTAAAACTTTTGGGAATGTAGGTTTGACTGGTAGGGCCCCATATGGTAAATAAATATGTTAATAATTGATATAGGTTATCCAATAACAGTAAACTACTATTTTTATTTATAATAAAAACTTGGGGGCCTGAGACTGCACTGGTCCCAACGTGGCTCCGCCTTTGCCTCCATGCTGCACATGTTGCTATGCAACGATCGTACATCATAGCGCATTACATAATTTTAAGTTTGACTTGTACGGTTATAAGTGTGAGAATGTGAAGGTAAAACGTCCCACATTGGAAAATTGAGAAATCTAGCAAGGACTTATGAGGAAGTTGAGGTTTCACCCCAAAACCAATTGGCAATGAAGGGAGTAGCCCAACTCCTTATAAGCCCTTGCTAGGTTTCTCAACTTTCCAATGTGAGACTTTTTACCTTCACATTCTCACATATGTACACCTAAAAGCAATTTTTTGACAGTCGCCTTTAGATACATGATTTGATTTTAACTTGCATTGCCATCATGAAGGATATAATCTGATATCCACAAGCATGTTTGCCATGGGTATCTGTTGTATTAATAATTGACACAAATTAATGTGCTAATCATTCAATTAAAAATACCCGCAAGTGCACGAATCTATTGAGGTATAGATTTAGTAAGTACGGGGTCGATCCCACGAGGAATTGTCGGCTTACAAGTTCTAATTTGAGTACGTAAAGAACACTTATTGAACACAACACAAATGAAAAACACAAATTGGAAGCTAAGAATGAGTAAAGAAATGTAAAAGAAAAGAAACAAAACAAGAAACACAAACAACAATTTCTATCACACTTTTATCACCACTGTATCCCCTGTTTATCACCATTTAGGCAGAATCGTTTCTCTGTTTTTCAGCTTCGACCTCTGTTCAGTTTTTTACCTATAACTTTCCAACCGTTTGTCCAAAATTCACGTTCTTTATATGGTTGGATTCATCACAGAAAAACAAAGAACTCACTGCGGACCAACTGTCAAAAACAGTTATGAAAGTGAGCAGAATACAGTGAAGACAACACACAACGTTTCAATCACACATGAGTTTTGGGGGGGGGTTGTTTGATTTGATTCAAGTGGCCTAATTATAATGCTTGAATGTAATCGAACTCTAATTTTAACAAGAATGACAGAGATGAAAGTCAAAGTGTGAAAATAAAATGTAACAAACACTAGAGTTTCAGAATCCACCCTAAACAACCCTACCCATGTTCATGGACACTCAAGTGATGAACTCTAAATGTGTTGATGAAGATGTTAGCAATCAAGACCGGGTCTAGTGGCTCAAGACGCATTGATTCTCTCTAATATAAGTAGAGTGCAGGGCTAGTGCTACAATACTTTTGCCTTCCCTATAATCAATCTAGGTGTGCTTAGTACTTCAATTTGATTACAAGAAAAACCCATCATGCAATCATTCATCTATAATTAACTTAATTTTAAAACTTGATATTATAATATTGAGTTTGAGAGAAAAACTCCCAAACAATGAGAAAGTTTGCTCCCACCAAGAGAATAGAAAAATGGATTAAAATCTCTTCTTTTTAGCAATTTGTGTACAAATGTAATATTTGTGTTAAAATGTAATATAATAATAATAGTTTTGTTAAAACTTTTGGGAATGTAGGTTTGACTGGTAGGGCCCCATATGGTAAATAAATATGTTAATTGATATAGGTTATCCAATAACAATATACTACTATTTTTATTTATAATAAAAACTTGGGGGCCTGAGACTGCACTGGTCCCAACGTGGCTCCGCCTTTGCTTCCATGCTGCAAATGTTGCTATGCAACGATCGTACATCATAGCGCATTACATAATTTTAAGTTTGACTTGTACGGTTATAAGTGTGAGAATGTGAAGGTAAAACGTCCCACATTGGAAAATTGAGAAATCTAGCAAGGACTTATGAGGAAGTTGAGGTTTCACCCCAAAACCAATTGGCAATGAAGGGAGTAGCCCAACTCCTTATAAGCCCTTGCTAGGTTTCTCAACTTTCCAATGTGAGACTTTTTACCTTCACATTCTCACATATGTACACCTAAAAGCAATTTTTTGACAGTCGCCTTTAGATACATGATTTGATTTTAACTTGCATTGCCATCATGAAGGATATAATCTGATATCCACAAGCATGTTTGCCATGGGTATCTGTTGTATTAATAATTGACACAAATTAATGTGCTAATCATTCAATTAAAAATACCCGCAAGTGCACGAATCTATTGAGGTATAGATTTAGTAAGTACGGGGTCGATCCCACGAGGAAGTGTCGGCTTACAAGTTCTAATTTGAGTACGTAAAGAACACTTATTGAACACAACACAAATGAAAAACACAAATTGGAAGCTAAGAATGAGTAAAGAAATGTAAAAGAAAAGAAACAAAACAAGAAACACAAACAACAATTTCTATCACACTTTTATCACCACTGTATCCCCTGTTTATCACCATTTAGGCAGAATCGTTTCTCTGTTTTTCAGCTTCGACCTCTGTTCAGTTTTTTACCTATAACTTTCCAACCGTTTGTCCAAAATTCACGTTCTTTATATGGTTGGATTCATCACAGAAAAACAAAGAACTCAACGCGGACCAAAAGGTAAAAACAATGACGGAAATAAACATAATTCAAAGAAGAGAAAGGATTGAAAT